TTACCTAATTTAGAGATTTTAAAAACAAATCCTCATACAGTGTACACTGGCTGCCTATTTTGGCTTAAAATGTTAAAGGAATATCTTTGTGCAACAAGGAGAATAAATTACTGTCCTAACAGCAAGCATCAGAATTCCTCTTAGGGAACCATTTTGATAAACTACTTGGAGTGGAAACTCAAATCCTTAGAGATGAGCTAGCGTGAGATGATGCCACAGTAGAAGAAGTTAAACAATTCAGCACTGGAAATGAAAAAGAAGTTGGTGAGAGAGAAGCTATTGCAGAATTTATGACAGAACAGCAAAGTGACTTTTATGGAAAGGAAGATCCAATATTTTATGAGTTTGTTTGGTTTCATTTTGGTTTTTGCAATGTAACACCCTGGCATTCACACATGCACCGCCCAAGCTTCAGTAGTATCAGGTTAACAGACAGAGAGTTTTCTTACTTGTTCTGATTTTTGGTTTTCTAATGCAAATCAAAGAAAGGCAAGTTCCATGTCTCCCTTGACATGGTTTGGGACAGGAACAGATCTGCAAGCTACCAGTTCAAAGAAACAGCTCTCACCAGAAGTGAGCAGTACTAGATAGAATGAATACAAGTATTTCTCCCTTCCCCTCTATTCCCAGAGGAATAGTCTCCATGGGGAATTTTCAGAAGTGCCAATCTACAGTCTAAACTCACTGATTCTAGTCAGTTTCCCCTCCCAGCCTCACCTCCATTTGTTCCTGAACACACTCATCAGACCTTTGCCCTGAAACTGCTCTTGTCAAAGGTCACTATGACATTCACATGGCTAGGACCAGTAAATGGTCAATTCTCAGTCTCCATCCAACTTGACTTTCCACAATTTACCATCTGCTCATCTATCACTAGATGCCCAGAAATACTGTAGACACCTGTTTTCTTAGTGTCTCAACCAGGTGCTCCCTCTCCATAGCCTTTACTGGCTCTTAATGTCCTTAACCTCTAAACACTGGATCAGTCCCTCCTTGTTCCTATTCTCTTTTCTATCTGCTCTCACAGCCCTGGAGAGCCCATCTATATCATCATATGCTGGCAAATGGATATCTCCAGCCAGATTACTCACCCAAACTCCCTATCTATAAATTCAACTGTCACCATAGCACATACCCTCCCCAATGTCTATCACCCAGCCACCCAATCCCTCCCACCCCCACCACTCCAGCAACCCTCCGTTTGTTTCCTGAGATTAAGAATTCCTCATATCAGTGAGGTCATATGATACATGTCTTTCTCTGACTGTGAACTGTACAAGACTGATGAATCACAGATCTGTACTTCTGAAACAAATAATGCAATATATGTTAAGAAAAAAAGAAGAAGAAGAAGATAGCAGGAGGGGAAGAATGAAGGGGTGTAAGTCGGAGGGGGAGACGAACCATTAGAGACGATGGACTCTGAAAAACAAACTGAGGGTTCTAGAGGGGAGGGGGGTGGGGGGATGGGTTAGCCTGGTGATGGGTATTAAAGAGGGCACATTCTACGTGGAGCACTGGGTGTTATTCACAAACAATGAATCATGGAACACTACATCAAAAACTAATGATGTAATGTATGGTGATTAACATAACAACAAAAAATTATTTAAAAAAAATAAATAAATTCAACTGTCTATTTGAATTCCTTTCAGACATCAAGGTGCTACTTAAATGTTTAACAGACACATCAGTCTCAAAAATCATCTCCTTCCACAATCATTCTGTCTCAGTAAAGACAATTCCATCCTTCTCATTCTCAAGCCAAAAAAAGCAAAAAACAAAAAAAACAAAAAATCTTGGAGTTATCCTTGGTCCCTCTCTCTCACATCCCACATTCTGTTCATCAGCAAATATTTTTGTCTCTGTTTGCAATATATATCAAGAATTGGACCACTTCCAACTACCTCACTGTTAACATCTTAATCTAAGCAACCATCATATTTTGCCTGAATTTTGCTGGAGTCTCTTATCTGTTTTTCATGTTCTGCCCTTTCCCCTCATCAGGGTCTCTCAACCTCAGCACTACTGACATTGGGAGCTAGTATTGTTGGGAAGGCTGTATTCAAAACTGACCAACAGATTTCCATCTCACCCAGAAAAAAAAAGAAAGAAAAGAAAAAAGAAAAAGCCAGAGTCCTTACCATGGCCTACTGGCTCTACATGATCAGTTACCCACCCGTTACTCCCTTCTTGACCTCATCTCCCTTCTCACCCACTTACTCACTCTGTTCTAGTCATACTTGCCTACTTGCCTTTTTGTGTTCCTCAAATAGAGCAACAAGCTCCCATCTCCAAGTCTGGCACTTTGTTCCCTCTGCCTATATGCCCATATCCTTGTCCCATAATATCCGTTTGGCTTGCTCCTTCACTCCCTTAGGTTCTTTGCTCAAAAGTTGGCTTCCCAATGAATCCTTCTGTATTCACTCATTTTAAAATTTCAGCTCCCTTCCCATGCCTCACCTGCCCCCCCACACTACTTATACCTCCATTCTAGCTTTATTTGTAATGGCACTTATGTCCATTTGATATACTACATGTGTTAATAATTGCTTTAATGCCTGTCTCTATTTAACAGAACATAAACCCCAGAAGGAAAGAGATTTTTGCCGTTTTTATTCACTGCTGTATCCCCATCACATAGAAAAGTACCCACGGGGGGGCACTCAATAGTGCTTATTAAATGAGGGAAGGAAGAAAGGAGGGAGGGAAAGAAGAAAGGAGGAATGGAAGGAAAGATAGAAGGGCAGAAGGAGAGAGGGTAGAATAGGTCTTGGAAACCATCCTAGGTAGATCTGAAGGGTTCAAGGCAGATGCAGCTGACATCTAGGATACATCTACAAGCACCATTAAGAAAGACTGAGTTGGTTTCCATAGAACTTATTTCATCACCATATACAATGAAAACTAAGGATTTGTCAAAATGCTTCTGTGCTTAGGAATTTTATGTAAGGAGTATTTAGAAAACATACTCATAAATCCATTAATATATAGATCTAAATACCTATAGATATATAAAATAAGTAGAACTTTAAAAGAAATTTTATAAAATGCCATGGGCTGTGGTAACTCCTCTAGATACATACAAAGGAGTGTGCTGGGGTTAGTCAAATCATTCAATTATATACACCATAAGGAGCTTAACAAGTAATAGTAACAGTGAACAGAGCTCTTTTCTACCAGATGAAAGCCTGCATGGTTCAATTGTGAGTGAAAGAGAGGAACAGAAATGCTTCCTGCTGCAAGCTGACAGTTACATGGAACGCCCTGAAGTTATAAATTGAGTTCCTCTACTAATTACTGGTCTGAAGGGGACAAAGATTCACATTTTATTTCTCTTGCTGAACTTGCAACATAAGCACTTGTGAATTTTACATTAGGGTCAAGCTGGGAAGTTCCCAGCTGATTTTACCTGGAGTAGAGAACATTGTCACCTCCCATGCAAATGAGGTCAGACAGTCCTTCCTGCCTTGGGTGCCTACCAGGGAGATTTCAGTGTAACAGACGCTAATACGGAAGTTGATACAGAGGGAAAAAGAAAGAGGGAGAGAAGCCAGAACAAAACTAAACTAAATATAGATCCTATCTGAAATACAATTTTGTTTAGAAATTTGAAATCAAATCATATGGATTCTAAGAACACATATTTCAAGAAGACCTCAGAATTTTGTAATATCATTCCTTAAAATTGTATGCCACACCCATTTTGGTAACAACATCAACTATTCTACCTACTTTCTAAACTACTCATTGTAAGACCAATAAAGCTACACAGCAGGTTACTTTAATAAAATAGACCAAGTTCTCCAGAGAGAGGAACCTGTGGTTCAAATACCAACACTTTTGATCAGGTAAGCACTTTATTCTTGCCAATGAACAATCACTTTTATGTGGATGCTGATCAAAAATGTTCTTGGGAAGGAAAAAAGATGGTGGGTGAGGAACAAAAGACTGCCGTGATGTAATATTTCAAAACAGGTTTTCCGAGAAGGAAAAATAACTTCAGCATTTCTAATGGGTACATGTACCCTTTCTAACTTCCTGGGAAGTCATAGTTCACTCCCCTGCAAAAGCAGGAGCTTCACTCAGATTAGGATCATAAAATTCATTTATTCATTTAACAAGCAACTATTGCACATATTGTCTTTGTAAAAGGAAGAAACATCAGAGTATTCATGGTGAACGTAATCTCCCTTATACAATTTCCCTTCTCCTTTGTTTTTATTCTACTTGCTACAACTGTACTGAAATATGACCGGACAAAAATAATGTGAGGGATAACTAACACACTGTGGTCCAAGATCTGAGAATTAGGACAGAGAAAATAATCAATGAGTGTCTTCTCAGTGTAAAACATGGAAGAGTTCTGGGAGTCATCAAGACTTAGCTTGAGGGACGCCTGGGTGGCTCAGTCGTTAAGCGGCTGCCTTCAGCTCAGGTCATGATCCTGGAATCGAGTCCCACATCAGGCTCCCTGCTGAGCAGCGAGCCTGCTTCTCCCTCTGCCTGCTGCTCTCCCTGTTTGTGCTCTGTCTCTCTCTGACAAATAAATAAATAAAATCTTAAAAAAAAAAAAAAAGACTTAGTTTGAAATCCCAGCTCCACCACTTACTAGCTGTCTGAATGAAGGACAGATTCCCTGGAGGTCAAGTCCCTTGAGTGGAAAATGTTCTAACAGTACCTACCCCTCTAGTACTTCCGAGGATTAAATGAGATGTTGGCAAGCACCCCTCCACAGCACATATTCAATGATTATAGCTACTCGAGTTATCTTTTGGAAAGCTAAACTTACATAATGCCTTTCTTAATTCCTACGAGGAATTCTTGGCAAGACTTAAGAAACATTAAGTTTTATTTTACCTCTTCAGAAGAAATTATTTTTCATGCTCATCTTCTCTAAAAATATAATTCTTGGAATTTTCATGTCTCAAATAAATGCATGAAGTCAAATTTCTACCTTCAAGTATCCCTTCCATTAAAATAACCAAGAAAATACTTACCGAGTTTTGGCAAGGAATAGGGCACTTTAAAGTAGTCTTCATAAAATTCTATTAATCTCTTTGTTATATGGAGAGCATAGTCCCCAGATCCTCTTCTGATAGCATCGGGTCTTGCATATAATCGTACCTAATTAAAAATATATATAAAAGTTACTTTAGCCTTTTGGTATTCAAATTTTATCTTCCCTGCCTATATGAATCTACACAAATCACTGTGAATACTACAAAAATTGAACAGTATTCTTAGTCACATATCAAAGCACGCTGTGGCTGAAAGAACCAAACTTGAACAATTAAAGTAACCAAGTTGAGCAAGTCACAATTTCCTCGCTTTACAAGATGCCATAGAGAAGATTTATACACCTTGCATCAAAATAAATATTCAAGTTATCACTTACATGTGCTTGCTAGAGATATGAAGGTACGGTGGATTAGTATAATGGTTCCCTGACTATGCTGTAAGTAGGCAGGATATGGTGGCTCCGCAGGAGAGAAAATTCATGGTTTGTTAAAGATACATTGCATCAAGCTTTGAAAGTATTACCAGGCTGAACAAAATATAATTTATGCTTCCTTCTTTTCTTTGGAACCAACTGTCCTTATTCCCAATATGCAAAGTAGGAAGAGCAATCTTTTCATGTACATAAGTGATTGCCACTCTGGAAGGCCGTCTGCAACTGCTCCCAGCTTCAAAACCAGCTGAAGTATTTTATATTTCTAACACAATTTGGATACTTAATATTGATTTTTAAATCAAGCATTGTATACTATCTAGTCCTTGGCCAAAAAGAAGCCTGAGGCAAATAACACAAACTGAACAAAACTAACAACTGTACAGAAAAGGTTAAAATGATATTAGATTTCATAAAGATTTCATACAGCTATCCAGCATCTTTCTTTCCAAAGGCTAAACCTATTTTTCACAGATGTGGCCCCTAATCCTCATATCAATTCTGTGAATAAGAAATATGCATTCTGTAGAGCAGTGGAGAACACAGCAGCCTGGGAGTTGGGCATTAGTCCTGCTCTGCCACTAAGCAAGTTGGGTGATATTAAACAAGTTACTTAACCTCTTTGGGCTTCAAATGTTCTCACTTATAAAATGAAGGTGTTGACTAAAGTGCTTTTTAGTTCTAAAATGCATTACTTCCAATCCCATTTTACAGATAAAGGAGTTTGTGTTCTTTTCAAAGCACTAAACAAATAAAATAAATGGTTTATTCAGTATGTGGAAATGGATATTTATATTCAACAGGAAGACAAAAGAAAGCTGTACTCAATCATATAAAAATTGATTATACAATTAATTCTGTTATCCTTGCTTAAGGAGAGAGAGCAGAGATGTATATAAATAAAAAGAGTAGAAAGTTAAGAAAAATGCATTCTGACTTGATGTTGAAAGACCTGTAATTCAATAGCTTTTTACTAAATTCAATAACAATTATTTACTGAAATAATGAAGCTACTTCTTACCCAACAACCAAATCAAATATCAAATTTAGTTCACAGTCACTTACAGTTTTATTTGGCAGTAATATAAAACCAAAAACTATCAGGAGCTACCAACTGCAACAGCAGAACTTAACATTCTTAGAGAGAGTGTGGATATGATTCCTGACCCTGACATTAACTGATTATAAACATGCACCGTCTTAAATAAAGTTCCCAAGAAGCAAACCCTAAGGAAAGGGTGAGCGTGCAAGTGATTCACTAAGAAAGTGTTCTTAGGAGAAATCTGCAAGAGAGCAAGGCAAGCAAGACAGAAGCCAAGCAAGGTTGCATGCAATTTCAGGCAAAGTCCTGGCCTTAGCCTGATCCCACAGGGAGCTCTAGAGTATAAACTGCACTTGCAAGTTTGCACTGCACTGAGGCATGACAGCTAGACCTCCATATTCTTGCATCTCAGCCATTGGATACTGGATACCAAGGGGAAGGCATAAAATCCCAAGGACTTCTTGTTCTTGGAGCATCTAGGTGATGCCAGCTCTGGTGGCCCAAAGATAGTCCTTTGGAAATGATTTTAGGTGTGAGCTACTAGGAACAAAGCAATGAAAAGCTGGGGGATAGGCACATCAAACAGGAAAGGAGATCTGGTCTGTGTATCATCAATAAACACCACTGACAATAATCACTCACTCATGTAGTCATTCATTCAACAAATATTTATTTGGCATCTAACTTGTACCAGGCCCTGGACTAAGGATTTTTAATTTAGTGATGAAGACATGTTTTCTAACCAGAGACTGTACAAAGGATTTTGAGGAAAAAAACAATGAAGGTGTAGTCCCCCTTCTCAAAGAGTTTCCCATGTACTCGGTAGGTTAGATAATAACAGATAATGATATATGCCATATGAATGGTAAACTAAAATAACAAATGTATTCTGAGGAAGAATGGATAGCTTTCAGGAGGCTCAAAGGTAAAGTAAATAGTAAGTTCATGTTGAAACTATAACCAGGACCACTGCAAAATGATGCATCAAAAGGTCACTGATTTTATTCCTACAAAGCATCATTGATTTTGGTAGAAACACAGCCATTCCTGTCAATCAGCTCTAACAGTCAGTCAACCTATCTGTAGGCTCAGACAAGAGCAACACAAATCAATCTGGTTGTCAACATTTGATGGAAATAATCCAATCTGAATGAGAAGATAAAACATATACAGGCTTAGCAATGACTGCATTTGCTCCATTCAAACATTTATTGTATGCCTCCTGTGTGCCAGGCATTGCACTAAGGAATAGAAATAGAACAGTACAAATTCCTACCACAAAATGAACAAGACATTTACACCTACTACTCTTAAAAGGTTCATAGTATGTGGAAAACAAACAAATCCACAACAAAAATATAATGTGAACAATGTAACAATGTAAGGCTCCCTGCCTTCCCCCCATTATAAAGAATTAACTGACTAAGCTCCTACATGAGGCCAAGCCCCCCACACTCTATCTCTTCTTGCCTTTTTGAACATCATGCCCAAACTTCTCTCCTTTATCTCCCACATCACCATACTCATGCATTGGAAGAACAAATATTGCTAAAATGTCTATACTACCCATAAGAGACTCTTAATCATAGGAAACAAACTGAGGGTTGCTGAAGGGAAGGGGGGGTGGAGGGATGAGGTAACTGGGTGACAGACACTGGGAAGGGTATGTGTTGTAATGAGCACTGGGTATTATGTAAGACTGTTGAATCACAGACCTGTACGCCTGAAACAAATAACACATGATATGTTAATTTTAAAAAAAGAATCTAAATCCAGAAAATAGAAGGAAAATTTTTTAAAAAGAACATTTATGTGAAAGCATTTTAATGATTAGTCAATACTAAGAAATATTAATCTATTAAAGGGAACTAACCCAACAATGTCATCATAGGCAATGCCATCACAGGTGTTCCCCTGGCTACATAATTTTCCATTTGTCACAGGCACAATTTTTAACATTAATATTTGTAATAGCCACAAGGTACCAAAGCTATTATTTATCATAATAAACTTTCAGCTTTTCCAAGTCTGAAAAAAATGTCTATACTACCCAAAGTAATCTACACATTTACTGCAATCCCTATAAAAATAATAACAGCATTTTTCACAGAGCTTGAACAAGCAATCTGAGGGTGCCTGGGTGGCTCAGTTGGTTAAGTGACTGCCTTCAGCTCAGATCATGATCCTGGAGTCCCAGGATCAAGTCTCATATCAGGCTCCCTGCTCAGCGGGGAGTCCAGTTCTCCCTATGACCCTTCCCCAACTCATGCTTTCTCTCCCTCTCAAATAAATAAATACATAAATCTTTTAAAAAAGTCAATCCTAAAATTTGTATGAAATCACAAAAGACCCTGAATAGCCAAAGCAACTTTGAAAAAGAAAAGCAAAGCGGGAAGCATCATAATTCTGGACTTCAAGTTATATTTCAAAGCTGTAGTGATCAAAACAATATGGGACTGGTACAAAAACAGACACAGGGATCAATAAAACAGAACAGAAAACCCAGAATTGAACCCACAACATATGGTCAATAAATCTTTGACTAAGCAGGAAAGAATATCCAATGGGAAAAAAATATCTTCAAAAAATGGTGCTGGGGAAAACTGAACAGCAACATGAAAAAGAATGAAACTGGACCACTTTCTTACACCATATACAAAAATAAATTCAAAATGGATGAAAGACCTAAATATGAGACAGGAAACCATTAGAATCCTAGAGGAGAACATGGGCAGTAACCTCTTTGACATTAGCAGTAGCAACTTCTTACTAGATATGTCTCCTAAAGCAAGGGAAACAAAGGCAAAAATAAATTGTTGGGACTTCATCAAAATAAAAAGCTCTGCACAGTGAAGGAAACAATCAGCAAAACTAAAAGGCAACCTACAGAATGGGAGAAGATATTTGCAAATGACATATCTAATAAAAGGTTAGTATCCAGAATATACAAAAAATTTATAAAGTTCAACACCCAAAAACCAAATAATCCAAATAAAAATGGGCAGAAGACATGAACAGACATTTTTCCAAAGAAGACATATAGATGGCCAACAGACACATGAAAAGATGTTCAACACCACTCATCGTCAGGGAAATACAAATCAAACTACAATGAGATATCACCTCACACCTGTCAGAACGGCTAAAATCAACAACACAAGAAACAAGAGGTGTTGGCAAGGATGTGGAGAAAGGGGAAACCTCTTGCACTGTTGGTGGGAATGCAAACTGGTGCGGCTACTCTGGAAAACAGTATGGAGATTTCTCAGAAAGTTAAAAACAGAATTACCCTATGCTCCAGCAATTGCACTATAAGTATTTACCCAAAGAATGCAAAAATGCTAATTCAAAGGGATACAGCATCCTGATGCTTACAGCAGCATTATCTACAATAGTCAAATTATGGAACCAGCCCAAGTGTCCACTGACTGATGAATGGATAAAGAAGATGTGATACACACACACACACACACACACAGGAAGATTACTCAACCATCAAAAAGAATGAAATCTTACCATCTGCAATGACGTGGATGGACCTATAGTATTATGCTAAGTGATATAAGTCAGTCATAGAAAAACAAATACCATATGATTTCACTCACATGTAGAATTTAAGAAACAAAACAAATG